CAAAAAAAAAAACCAGCTCACTTCTTGAGAGTTTCATGGTTCTTGAGCTTTTGAATTGTGAGCCCTGGTTTCCTTCCTTCCAGTCATTTTGCCCATTATTGAAAAGAAAATTTTGGAATTCATACAGGCAAGAAAAAGTGCTTGAGCAATGGCCAGTGCCTGCATGGCCCAGGCAAGAAGGACCTGAGGACTGTTTCAACACTCACTGCAATCGACAGGCTTGAGAAATCCTGGTTGTTGGGAAGCCTTTACACAGATTGTCCCTGCAAATGCTTTTACCAGGTCACTCCGTCCTTTTCCTAATTCAAACTGCAATTACAGAGATGATAAAATGGAAAATAAATATATATGCACTAGCTGAGAAAAACCAATTAGTTTTGCACCAGTGAAAAATAATGCAGAACTCCTTGTGTCTTTAACAAACTGGCTCTCAATGTATATTGTAATGCATCTTCATGATCCAAATATGCTTAGGAAGAGCATGACAACAAAATATATGTTGGAAGTGTAATAAAGGAACTAATGCAGTAAAGTTACTATATTTTATTAGTAAAAAAACCCAATTAAAATGATATCCAGGTAGTAACTTAGGAGCCAAATGTCATAGCTGTCTCTTTTGCTGCCAAAATATGTGTACTCTCTTCCTAACAGTCTCTTTCCCCAAGGAAAAATAAATGTGTCTAAGAAATACTTGTTAGCAATGCAATTACAGGCTTAATTCCCCAACCAACTTCAGACATCATAAAAACAAAACCAAGCAGAAGCCCTTTGCAATTGCAATGGAAAAGAGACAGAAAACCACTAAATGCTCCAAGAAAGATAATATATTTTTATAACAAAAGCTGACACACTCTTTGACAATAACATTTGAGATGACATTAGCATTTGTTTTTCAACTGCACTGTCTTTTTCTTTTAAGCTACAGCCTAGAATTAAAAACTTCTTCTAAGGGTAGACTGTGCTACTCCTGAACAGGACTTTTGGGACACTCAGACTCCAAAGTAGCTTGCCAGACTCTCAGAAAAGCAAAGCAGCTTTGTATCAAAATAACATTTCTTGGCACTACTTACTTCTGAAGGTCTGATATCTCCAAGGAGCTTAATGAGAGCTGGGTTATTTGTACGTTGTGGATTCAACCATGAGAGATGAAACACTGGGAAGATAATTCAGAACACTTCTGAAGTGTTGGTGCTAGCAAAATGAGATCAAAATAAAAGTTTGAATAAATAGATGAAAAGGACAAAAAATGCTAAACCTTACCTTTTTTTGTTTTTGTTTTTTTTTTCCTGCTACCATACAGAATAGATCCATATTCATATCACAGCTTGGAAAGCAAACCTTCAAGAGGCCTGGCACAAACCATGGGAATTTCGTAGCTGTGCAAGCCTCATGTCTGTGGTGTCCTTCAGGATTCCCGCTCTGGGGTCTGGATTCATCCGTGTCTCCTCATGTATTTACCACTGTGCTCCCTGCCCAGCCTGGGCACCCTGGGCTCTCTCACTATCCAAAGCAGGGTCTTGAGCTCCTCCAGAGATGCCTGTCTAGGGAGGGGCTGTCTCATACCATTGGTTTCACCAGGGGAAACTCTGAACTTGGACACTTTCCTGTGTGGGGAATAGATGTCTGATACTCCTGACCTGAAGTTCCAGGCTCTGTAGAGGGATTCCCACTTCATTTGGTAGCAGCATAGACTTTTACTGTTGGAGGTACAGATGTACACCACAAAATAGTGCCACACTGTGCTCCTGCTAGATCCCCACTCCCAATGCAAACTTGAATTTCTTTGACAAGTGGCTGAAAAGTCTTTTTCATCCCAATGACTTTGTGCAATTTCAAATCCCATCTAAAACATTGCAGATGACTTCTACCTCTCAGTTCAGTTACTATCAAAAGTTTCCATTCTTTTGAAATGCTGGCAGCAAACCCAAGATAAATATATTGAAGTTTAAAAATTTATTATTTTAAAATATTTAACATTAACAAGTTTTTAATGATTTTTAAATTGGATCTAAATCAGGGTAGATATTTTCCTTTTGACACTCACTTATAAAAGGTTACTCTATTCATAGGTTCACAAGAAGAGGAACGTGGTTTTTCTTTCAATTTGTCTTGCCTCCAGCCTTGGATCACAAAATGACAGATAGCTGGAAGGCACTGGAGCTTCACTAGGTGAAAAAGCATATTCTCACTATGAATGTAAAAACTGTATAACCAAGCCCCAGAAATCACAAATGCCAGGATCCCTGAGTTACAGGCAATACAGTATAGAGCTAGAGCTGATGCCAGAGAAAGGTAGAGAGGAACTTTGCAGATGATCTCTAAGATGTCTCATGGCTCATAAAAATGATCGACTTCACTGGCATTTTCAATTAATAGATGCACCAACTTTTCCTCTGTACATTTAAGCTGTCAGTATCTACTCCCATAATGACAAGATAGAGGGGATGGGGTTTTTTTCCCCATATTTAAAGTGCTGCTGATTAAAGTTAAAATGGGATCAAGGATATGCTTTTTTTAACTAATGGAGATTTTGGATAATAATGATGAGAAGCTTTCATTTGCAAAAGCCAGTGTGATGCCTTACATGTCTGTATTGGATGTAAATCTTGAGAAATGTCCTTGACTAGGGTTATTAGAACTGGTATGATTGGATATGTGACATTTTTAATGTAGACTCAGAAACAAACTGCTTTATTATTGAAAGGCTAAGATGAATTTATTGAGATGGTCTGAATAATTTTTCTGAAACAGAAATTCCACAGACAGCTGCTGTCTCTCTCTTAATGAGTTTCAGAGGCTGTATAAAGAGGAAACCCAAGTCTTTGTGGAAAGCTCTGAAGAGATTTCTTTCTATCCTGCCTCACAGCCTGTCTCCTGAGAAGCACAACCATCAGCACTGACAATAATAAACACAAAACAGAAGTCTAGATTAAATGCTGTGAATGATCTATGGCTTTGTTTTGCTGGTATGCACCTGAGGCTCAAGACCCTTTTACAAAATGATGGAAACTCGTCTCACTAACGAAAGTTACATGGTTACAGTGATTTGAAACAGAAAATGGCTTTATCTGTAACCTTCTGAGGTGGATTTTAAATTTTCCTTAAATTGAGGGTACTTAGACCTGATACTTCAGCATAGCACCTTAGAAAGGTTGAGATCCACTGTAAATCAGGTCCTAGGCCAGGTTTATTTTTCAGGCATCTCCAGTCTGTGACAGGATGTTGCTGTTTGGTAATTTCTAAAGGAAAGATGAGTTCAGAAGCTCAGAGAGACACTGTAATAACACTAACATTGATGGGAAGAGGAGACAGCAGAAGCCCTTGTTGAGCATGAATTATAAGTCTTTGTCAGGTTCCAGGGTGCACAGCTGGAAAGGCCATCTTCTTTTTCCTGCTTTACTCCCTCTTGGCAGCAGAATAAAATTTCTACTTAATGGCCTTTCTGAGGTGGTAAGAAGTGTGGTACTTCTGTTTTGTAAGATTTCTGCAAATGCCCTGGGTCCACACTATTCACCCTTCGATGCGAGTTTCTTCTCAAACCAGCCTTGCCAGCATTCCACATTGTCAGGTCCAGCAACTTTAAGTGGCAACAACTTTAAAAAACATTAAAGACCAACCTTCTAACGTTCAGAAGGAGTTAGGAAGTTCCAGACATGAGTCATAAAATCGATCTCTTCCACCAAAGAGACTAATAAGGGTTCATAGGTGAGTATAAGCACCTGGGAAAAGGCTCTCGAGGAAAGAGCATTAGAGAGGCAAAGATGATAGCACATTGTGGAAAAAATCCATGTATTTCTGCTGTGGCTGTTCATAAAAGCACCCGAGATACAGTCAGCTACTTGGCTCACAGGTTCCAGGGAAATGTTCGCACAGCTGATATGCAGGAGGCAACATGTGGATCTCTGATGACATAAACCCACCTTTTGCATTTATATCATGTACAAATGTGCCCCCGCCCTCATGAATCTCAGACAGAGTATGTGTTCTGTGAACTGGTGGAAGGGAGGGGAGATCCCAGCTCATCATATCCACATTAGGCTACCCATGGTAAAAAAGACTGCAGAATTTAAGCGCGGCCCCCAGCATTTGCTCACTGCCTAGTGCTAATCTCTTCTGTGAAGGCTGTGCACAGGTAGGGATCTCAATCACAGTCTGTTTCTGCCGAGAATATAGTAAAACACAGACAGCACTGGTGCAAAATTTCCCATTAGAGCTGAAGTGAATGTCTGAGGTCAGGCTGTGAGAAAGGTGAGGCTGGAGGTCTTCTCCCCTCCAGGGACTGTGGCTGTTGACAGAACTAACAAACTGAATAAAGTAGAAATAACAACCTGCAGTCCTTCCTGCTGAAATAAAGATTTCAATAACCTGTGTTGCAAATGGCAATAGTAAGCAGTCTCTTCTGTTTCAAACCATTAGGAGATAATATGACCGGAGTAGAAATCAGTCTTCAGAGCAACTGCTTACATTAAAAGGCTTGCACAAAGCCGGAGTGATGGAGGTTTGCTTTCCTCACAAGCCAAGGAAGCAGAAAGGCAAACAGGGGTTTGACTGTTTCCAGGCAAATGGGCTGTTTTAATCACCTTCCTTCTCCCTTTCTGTACGTCCATACGAGCGTGTGTGAGGACTTTGATGTGTGCACGCTGTGCTTGACCCCCAGCCCACGACTGCAAGAGCACGCACCCACCGCGTGACCAAAGAGCATATCCAGCATCAAACATGGAGGGGAAAAAAGAAAAACAAGGAGTGAGGCCTGAAACATCCAATCTGCTGTGCTCAGCAAGTTACTGGTTGTTATGGTAGTGACGCCATCGGGACTAGGAAAGCAGCTTTCTCTCGCAGTGGGATTATTGAGAAGATTATTAAAACATTTTCATTTAAAACTATTTGGCAGAGACTTCTGCATAAGTCAAGAGGACATTTCTGCCCATATCTTCTTCCAACAGAGACAACAGAGTTTAAGGGGGAAAACAAAAACAAGCAAAACCCCATCGACTTTCCTTATGGCTACCAAAAAGGGTCTTGAAAGAGCTTGTCTTGTGAGCGAGAGGGACACCAAGAAGTACTCCTTGGCCCTAGACAGGTAACACAACTCTTTGTTTCCTTCACTGCCATTTCTGTCTCTGAGCAATAAGAGATCACCAATCTGCTGAGGGACTGCAGGAGTTAAAGCCTAGAAAGTTTTACAGTGTATAAAGGGAGTATCTTTTACTACTTTCAAAATGTTTTGTTTGATTTTTTTCCTTCCCAAACTTTCTTATTAAATGTTTGAAGCATTTACTAGACAGCAGTCTGATGTGTCTGCATATGTGATGGATTGAACCAATCTACTGTTGAAGCAAGTGTCTCCTGCTATGTATTTTATAAGCTTAGTAGATTTATTGTAGGATGCAAAACCTCATGGATTATGCTGCAATTTTAGGTTGAATTATAATCGTGCTATTGACACCGTGTTTGATTCAAAGCTCCTTCATGCTTGAATGTCTAAATTATCCATTTGGTTTGAAAGAAAGGCGATGCTTTATTCCCTTGGATGGTCTATTGGACTTAGAGCTGAAGTACCTCTCATGTGCCAGAGATCTTGTGAGTAAATGCTTGTTTGAGTGAAGAAAGATCCTCTGAAAACGTAAGATATCCTGTAGCTTGGGTTAAAAAATTAGTATAAATGTCCATCAGAAAATAGTTTTGCAGTTTAACTTATTTTCATTCTTCCTTTTGACTCAGACCAGAAAGTGTTTTTAAAAGAAAATAGCTGCTCAGTTACAGCTTAGCACCTCTTGACATTTCCATTATCTCATTGGTTTTCAGGTTATTTATTGCCTGGCTCTCTTAAAAAGCGTGGGACAGAAACTTGGCGTAAACACTGTCAGTTCCAATGGAAATCTGTCTCTCCACGTTCTTATACTGGGGTCACTGCCATCGTATTTTAGTCGTTTGAATGTCTGGGTTATTATTTAAATATTACTATGTGGCTCCATAAATATACATGGCACTGTCCAAAATGACTTTTGTGGTAATATTTATATTTCAGAAAGATCCCATATGATTCTGCAGTTCATTTTAGTTACTGAAGACTCTCGGAGTTTTTTTGAAAGTTTGCAGTTTTGTGATTAGAGCTTCAGTGCTTGAGGTCCTTTGGTCTCTCACCACCTCTGGACACCAAGGACAATTCTGGACAAATCCTGAGACAGGGGCAACTGTTAGGCTGCCTTCTGAGGAAGCCCTTGGTTTCCCTGGATCACTGGTAACAGGGAATATTCCTGGTAAGAAGAGGGGTAGGATGCACACTGGGGGAAAGAATACCTGGCAGCTGATCCTCCCCTCTGAGCTGACTCACCTTCTGGGGGAGTTGATTTGTTTCTGATAATTATTTCTTAATTTAGGGTTGAAGTTAGTTGGGGTGAATTACTGCAGCAATTGCAATTGTTGGGCTGATGGCTGCAGCTACCTCCAACAGCCCCTGAGCTGGAGGGCTGGTCCCAGGAGGGTTCCCCAGTAGCAGTCCTGAGGTGGCTGAGTGATGGAGCTCTCCAAAATGAGGAGGACTTGTCATCCAGCCATGTGGCTTTTGTGCTGCACCTCCATTTGGCTTTTTCTGTCAGATGAAATCTGATTAACTGCACAATCTAATTAGTCTGTCCATTCCCAGAAATAACCAGAAACAGGGACTGAGAGCCAGTCTCCCTCCTTTTGGGAAGAGCTGGCAGCCCAGGGTTAGTCCTGCTCCCCATTACAACCCAGAAGTGCAGGTTGCCAGCCCAGCTACCTGAGGTGCCAGCCCAGTGACCCAGGGTGCCTGCCCACGGGCCAGAGCCAACCCATCAGGGCATGCAGCCCACTGGGCTTGGGCTTACACAGACCAGCTGCCTGCACAGCTTCAGGTGTCTTAAGCTGATCAGTAGCAATAAGCTCATTTAGCCTTTGGTATAAATTAACACATTTTTCCATTTCCCATGTGTAGGCTTAATGAACAGCTCTAATGCTTTCTACAGACTTTATTTTGCATACAGGTTGCATATTTCTTTGCCATCCTCCAGCTTCTTTCTTCTTGACACGTGCCATCATTACGATACACATGGAACAAACTGGTTTTATCTTGACCATGTGAGTAGGAAGCCTGAAAGCAAACCCCTTTCCTTGTACTCAGGGCTGGAGGAGGGTATTTTGCACATGCCAGGCCTTCTGTAGTCACTAGCAGATTTGGGTGCATTGAGGTTTCCCATGCTTAACTTGAAAGGCTTACAAGGGGACGGGCTTTAACTGAGCCCTCTGAAAAACAGATCAGTTGTAAGCTTGAAGAATAATTCACACTGGAAAGGACCTCAAGGAGGTCTCTGGTCCAACCTCCTGCTCAAAGCAGGGTCAGCCAAGCCATTGAACAAGGTTGCTCAGGGCTGTCTCTGGTCAAGTCTTGAAAAAAATCTCTCAGGATGGAGGCTGCACAACCTCTCTGGGCAATCTGCTCCCATACTGAATTAACCTCACAGTCTTTTTTCTTTTTTTCCTCATATTCAGTCTGAACTTGTTTCACTTTAGGACCAATGACCTCATTCTTCCTCCATGCACAGCAATAAAGCTCCATCTTCTCAATAGCTTCCTCAAAAATATTGGCAGGCTGCAGCCAGGTGCTTGTGGAGCCACCTTTTCTCTAGACTGGACAAGTCCAGTCCCTGCAGAAGTGCTCCAACCTTTAACCATCCTAGTTACCCTCTACTGAACCTGCACCACTTTATTGATCTTTCACATTAGGGACACCAAAACTGGAAACAACATTGTAGATGTGGTCTCACGAGTCTGTCTGTCCCATGTGCATTACTTTTGATTCATCCACCCCTGTAAAATTTCAGAAGGCTCCTGTTGACCCCTTCCTCCAACCTGCTTATGGCAGCCTTGTCCTCTAATCTATCAGCTGCACCCTCAGGTTGGCATCATCTACCAACGTGACCAGGTGCACTACACCTCCTCCTACAGGTAACAGACAAAGACATTACACAGGATGGGTTTCAGGAGAGGAGACCACTTCCCACCAAGCTCGAGGAAGGGTATGAACCATAATGATAAAAGGGTCTGAAGCTGAGCGCTCAGAACCTCCCGCTTCATGCAACAAGTGTTGTCTGTAAGTCATTCAAAGAGATATTTGTATCATCTCTCTTTAAATTAGGTCTGAACTAGGTGTCTAAGATGGTTTTCCATGGTCTTTTCACAATCAGTTATAGTGGTAAGAGAGATAAGTTTTTCCAATTATTAGCCATTTATTATGCTATTTTTTTATTTATTATCACCTATCTAGTGATCTAGATAACCACTTATCACAGTCTAGATAATAGCTCAACCAAATTCCTGAAGTTTCCAGGAATGAAGACAGGCCAGATGATTTTATTTCTTGCTGGCAATAGATCAGTGTAATATAAAATCAGTGAATATTCAATATCCCACTTCATAAATCTGTGAATTTACCTCTGATTGTGCCAGTTATACTGTGAACTAGATTTTGGCTTGATTCAGCATGATTTTCTGAATTTCTGATTATGTCCTTTATATGTCATTATAGTGGGAATTTGAATACCATCACACAGTGAAACTCAAGGCTTTTAGTCTCAAGGTTTTGAGTTTTATTCTGTCTCTGAGACAAGAGAAAAAATGAGTGGGGAACAATTCTGAAAGCAAAAAAAGATGTGTTAAAACCTTAGGGCTTGTCTTCATGCAAAAGTTTTAAGACAGGGCATTAAGGTGACCCGTAGATATTGCTGCCTATCAGTCTTAGGCTCATGGTTGATTCCTATCTGCCAGGCTCATACCAATAGGCAAAAGTTTGAAGCAAGCCTGGGAGATGATTTCTTCGGGTAAAGAGTGATTTGTATAGCAAGCACGTAGGGAATATTTTCTTCTTTTTTTGCCTTCCTGCAGGCAATGTGAAAACTCTTACGAGATCAAAGAGTCCTCATCAAATAAAGGCTTTCCACCACTCATTATGCTTTACAGAAGTCAATGCTTAGGAAAACTGTAGGTGTTTTTCATGACTTCTGAAGTGTTTTAGCTGAGGGCCCTGTGGTTATATCTCCTTTGTACTGGCTTGCCAGCTTGTCCCAGTAGCACATAGTATTTTAGCAGACTTAGCAAAAACAATCCCATCGCCTTTGCCCTCCTGTTGGTAACATTAGGACCCTGTAGAAAGGACTAATGTCTAAGACTGTGTCTGCCCAGTACTGGCCACATGCCATCTCTATTATGCCCACTTCAATTATGGCCACTTCATCTCAGAAAGAAAATTAGAACGAAGATAGTAAGTGGTATGAAACAGAAATTAAATGGTTAGGGCATCAGCTCAGAAAATTGATAGTTCAGAGGTATAACAATGATACATAAAATCATGAATGATGTGATGAAGGTAAACAGGGAATAGTCATTCATTATTTCTAACAGTACGAGAACTAATTAAAATAGCAGGCAGACAGCTTCAGAGTAACAAAGGATGTATTATTTTTACACAAATCATAATTAAATTGTGGAACTCAACACTTTCAAGTCAGCTGGGTTTGTGGAATAAAGATCTGTAAAGGGCTGTTAGACAGGAGCTCTGGTTCAGCCACCTCCCAGCCTCCAGATTTGTGTAGCTGGGAAGCAGTCCCTCTCTGGACATGTTCATTTTTGGTTCTTTGTCCTTATGTATTTCCTTCATGGTCATGACAGAGTTTGGATACTTGGCTACATACACCTTTGGTTTATCTCCGGGCAACTACTGCTTTACTGTTTTGCAGAAGGAAATTTACTGACAATACATTTATATATATGGGGCCAGGCCCTCAAAATGTGATTAAATAAAATAACCAAGGCACAAATTCCCAATTACTAGACATCTAAATGTAGGCAAATATATAAATATTTGCATTTATTTTGTACCCACAATAAGGAAAATGAGAAACTGGACAGCCGGGCTATTAACAGGGTCTTAAATGCCTTGGAAATATTGAAAATCAAAATCAGAATTGTGCCAGAATAAGGGAGGTGACTGTGGTTTTGATAAATTTTGCTCTGAAGGCAGTTTCATTATCCTTTCAGGCACCAGAAAATTACTATTTTCCCTTGTGAAGGAGATGATCTCCTGTGGGAAGTACAGTGATTCCAAATTTTGCTCTTTTGACTGGGGAACTCATAATGGTCTAGGAGGATGGCAATTATTCCCATCAGCCTGCAGATCAAGGTACCCAGCAGATCAAGTGAAAACAAACAAAAGGAAGTTGTAATAAAAAGCTGTTGCTAATGATTTGTGTGGAATCTGCACTATGTATTAATATTTTTTACTTTCCCCCTTCTGGGCATGACTCAGTAGGAGCCTTTCTGTGACATTCCCCTGACTATCTTTTTTACAAAGAAAAGAGAATTTGAAATGGAGAAAAGATTATTTTTTTAATCTGTGACTCTGTAATGTGCAGGTGCAGAGATCTGATATTCAAAGGCTACATCTCGCTCTAACACACTCTGAAGGGGTTTCTGGTTTAACAGAGCTGATCTTTGCACCTTAAGCTTTTGATTCACACTTTTATAAAATTGCCTCTTAGATTCTTTTAATTAGTGGCAGGCTGCTTTTGGAAGAGAAAAATAATGCACAGGAGCTGGCAGGAGTTTTTGCAATTCATCAGGCCAGATGCTGTTCTGTGAGTTCAGTGAATGCTCACCACCTCTGGCAACTGGGGCACTTTTATTTAGGTGCCCTTTAGACAGAAAAAAGTGACATTTGTGGGTTTATGTTTTCTCTGTTTGCTTTTGCATCTGTCCAACAATATCTGTGGATAGTGCTTTCCTGCCCCTCTGTGATGCCCCAAGGTTTGTTAGCTGATAAAGAGACCTGAAGATTAAAAAAAAAAAAAGGGAGGGGGATCACAGAGCAACCTATTTTGTTAACAGCAAGGAAAGGATTTGGTGGCTCAGAAATATGCAGCTGCAATTTTGCCATCCCTGCCCTGACAGGCTGTTGAGCTGATCGTGACTCATGTAATTAAGATGATTTTAACATTTAATGCCAGCTGATGAAAATTGAGGTAAGGGGAAATTAATTTTACATGCAAACTATAGAAAAGCATTGGAAGTTAACTCCAGAGAGAGATCACGATAAAGAAAATCTTGCCTGCCCTGATCTCCAGGGGAGAGTGAGAGAACTGCAGCATTTTATTCAGCCATCTGGAAGGAATTAATTTGTGGTACCTTCTGTGTCTAATTCATCAGGAAAATACTGTACAAAAGTGACACATGAGGACCCTGATGAATGTAAAACTAAAGGACTGGAGAAGGACTGGCTAGTGGGGACCCCAGCTGCCAGACGGGTAGCCCGTTCCCCAGACAGCCCAGCTCCCATTTATTCATTGTTGTGAGGAAAATAAAGAAAAATGCTGACAAAAGGACTAAGAAAACTCACTGTCTCCAAGCACCAGGCATTAAATCTGACCAGTTGCTCTTTCACACAAGCTCCTCACATACAAGGGGAATCAGTCGCCTTCACTGAGCAAACAGAGACCACATGCTAACCAGGCTGGGAAATGGGCTGACTCAGGGGAATGTTGCATCCTTGGAACATCTCAATAATATTTACAAAACCAAATCCACACTGATTATCTACAGTTGCAGGGCTTGGCTGCCAAGGTGGGTCAGCTTTTCTCCTTTTGCCAGCACCTCTGTGGTGCTGGTGAACACAAAAGGCCAAGGCATCCATAGCTCTGCAGGTGCCTTTGCCTCCCGCCCATTGGTGTGGGGCATCTGGCAGGACTTCAGACCCGCTGAGCAGCTGCAGCCCTCTCAGGCTGCCCATAAAAAGCAGCTGGAAAAAGCTTGTGATTTCAGTACTGTTTTTTTCTTGACATTGACTACTGCAGGTTGGCAGCCACCAGCTGATTTCTTTCCAGCAAGATTTTAGGCATCTTGACACTTCAATGATAAGAAACACTACAGATAGTCACTTGGATCCATCTTACTTCCTGGACCACAGGTTTCCTTCACTTAGCTGAAGAAACAATTCTTCTGTGTCCCAAAGGAAAGTCTGAAGTCAGAATGGGGAAAAGAGGCTGTTATTACTGGGGTAGCTAAGCCTAGTCCCACATCCTGCCTCCAGGCTAATTTCAGACTTGAAATAAAGCAGTGGAGTTTGCTGTGTTCCTGGGTAGGCCCTGCACATCCAGACCTCAAATAGCTGCAGCTCATGGTTATATGGATGTTATGTATGTGCATCTCAGCAGAATTCACCTTCTGATGCCACAGTCCCAATACACGGTTATCACATCAGGAGTAGCTCTGGCAACAAATGTTTTATCTGAAGAGATGTAATGGTTTTCAGTCGAGCTTTCTAGGACAGAGTGAGCCTTTGGGTTTTTCTCAGTTGAAAGGTAAAGAGAAGGGAACGTCCTTGCTCACCAAACCACCCTGGTGGCTCCCCTGGGACAGTCTCTGGGTTACTTTAGTGAAAGCCCCAGATGTCATGGCAATCCAGGAGCTCCCACAGTTGTAATGCAATGGCCTAGGACCTCTCTATCCCCACTATGTATTTGCTGTGCAGGAACCCTGACAGGGACAACACTGAAGCTTTTTGGCAGAGTAGATTTGGCTGGGAAATCACCTTGTGATGAAGAAATGCTTGAAGAGCCACTTCTACTGAACTTCTCACTATTCCATGAAAGCGGTGGCACAAAGGGGTCAGCATACTATGAAAAAATTATTGCTTTGATTTTTTAAATACCTTTGAATTTTCTATGCTCATGTTCTGCAGGAATATTGGTAGTTTTTGTACATATCTGGAAATTTGAGATAAAATAGTTCTGCATGTAAAGAAAGGAGAGAAATATCTTTAGCCATTTATATTTGAGAAAAAGTTTTTATTTTTTTACTGGTCTACCTGACAAAGCTATTGGGAATAAAATCCTGAATTTTTCAGTAGAATTGTCTCCATGATATGCTGAATTTGGTAACTATTCGCATGAGGTACGACTTTTTGAAAATCATATGGTGTGCAAGAAATACACAGCCTAAGAAAGCCACCCTGCATTTCATAAACTGCTAAATGATGTAGGAGAGCCCAAAGAGCTGGGAAACACAACCAGAGTAGTCATTTCATGTGCAGCTCCCTCCCACAGAGACCTGCTTGTGCAAGCAAGCCTCTTCTGTGGCCTGTGCTGCTGTTCCCAACTCTGCTTTTATCCTTTGAAATTAATTACATAGTTTCTGGGTCTGCAGGGCTAGAAGCCCAAATAACCAGGGTTTTTCTTTTTTAACCTCTGTTTCTTTCTATCCTGAAGGATGAGCTGGCTTCAGAAGAATTTAAATGAAGACAGGCAGCAGCAGGAAGCAGAAGTTGCTGAAGCTAATCCAGCATATCACTGTCACGGCTACTCACAGGCCTATGAGAACAGAAAGAGGGAGCAGCATCAAGCCAGGAGGAAGCTCTGTGTAGCATCAGTAATTTGCATCTTCTTCATGATTGCTGAGATAACAGGGGAGTATGTGTGTTCAAAGAGAGCTCAGTCTGGTGCCCAGCACAGCCACATTCATGCCTTCTCTGTACACTGTGCCTGCAGGGACCCACAGTGCACAGAGGTGAACCCACCTGGGATTATATAAACCTCCTTTGTCACCAGTCATTAAAAGAATCATGGGGGAGGGGTGTGTGTGGGGGTGTTAAGTGAAATTATCAAAGTATCTTTATATATTCATTCAAGGATTGCATCTGGGTAGGAATACAAAGATCAGTTAATAGCCTGAACTGTTCTCCCAGGTCTTTAAACTTGACTAGAAGTGACTAGCATGTCTAAGCATCATGTCACAAAAGGTTTCTAATAAACTGGATTTTTTTTTTTTTTAAAGATTAAAGGATTTTACATATTTATCTCGGCCAACAAGACTCAGCATTGATGAAGGTTGCTAGCAGTATAATCTGATAATAAATGCAAGAATCTTCACAAAATCCAGGGAAATCCAGGGCCAGATTTGCCATCTGTTTTTCTACAGTTAAGTCAATGTATTTATATCGAGCACGTTTATCTTTTAAATTGGCCTGCTGGTGTGTCTCTGGATCAATGGAAGATTATTCCCCCACCTAATTAGCTTTCACTTCTGGACCCATCCTACAATATCCAGTATAAGTATTTGGCTTGCTCATACAGCATTAGCTTTCTTTTTGTCCCACTGGTCTGCTCTCTCCATGGATTCTGTGATATTTATGTCCACCTAATAGTTCTTGGCTCTTTAACTTGCCCTTCTCCACAGTGAGGTGAGGTAGGGAAAGGCATGAGGAATCCCACAGACTTTTGCCATATGTGCTCCAGGAAATGTAACAAAAATCAGCCAGGAAGGCCTCTGAAACCCATACTTTCCTAGCTCAGGGACCTCTGGAGCCCCATGAAAATGAAAGAGAAAAGCTTTGTCTTCCCCACAGGTGAGAAGTGGAGGCACTGAAAGAGTTGTTGCATTTCTGCCTTCTCCCCTGGCTGCCAAACCCAGCAGGGACTTCTCAAACTATTCCCTCCCATGCTCTCCATCTGCATGAAGCCCTGTTGTTTGTAGGTCACGTGCATTTCCCCCGTGAAAACCCATGCATATTGCTAATCCCCATGCAGTAATTTCCAGTGCCAGAAGTAATGCATTATTAACAAAACCATATAATCAGTAGGCTTAAGTTTGGTGAATGCAGCAATGCTAGAGGATAATTGGAAGGACAGATGATATGTTAACTAAATGTTTCATTTTGCTTAATGAATCATACAGCTTTTTTGCAGTGACAGCTTAAGTAACAGGCTTGAAGACCATTTTGCTTCAGACCATTAAACTTTGACAAACCAGTTATTAACTGCAGTTACAGACAGCACTCTATGGAGATTTTTGTAATTATGAACCATACATTTAATTTTTTTAATCATTAAGCAAGACTGCCTCTGCCTGATGATTGACCACTGAGTGACTGACAATTTCTACTGCTTGTGGTATACAAAGCTATAAACATCCATTGTAGGGAATAATAAGCCATAAAGGCCCCTTGTTGGGAGTATTGATACAGGGCAGTAAAAGCCTATAACTATTACACAGGCTTTACTCTTGAAAGTAAAGGATATGTTCCCCTTCCTTCTACTCTAAGGGTAAACAGCTTCTGCGGGCATTATTATGTTAAACAGAAGAAACAAAACTACATCCCTCTCAGAGAGGTTGAAACGTTGTGCTTCTTTGAATGCCTAGGTATTTCCATGATATTTTTGCTCAAGCCATCTCTGCTTGCCATTACTGCTGTCCCAGAAGAGCTGAGCCTGATACACTAACTGTCCTTGAAAGACAATCATCTTCCATTCTTCTAAAGCAGACCCATCACAATCTCCATAGATTTGGAGATATCAGTCAAACCAATAGCACCTAATGTAAAGCCCTGATATGAAAGTAGTTTCCAAAGATTTTTAGTGGCTACGGACCAAACGTGGATTTCAAAGTACTTCATTTCCATTTGGGCACTAGAAAGAAAGACAAACCCTGCTTGCATCCTCATGTCAGAACAGAATATAAAGACTTGACCAAGTTGCTAAGATAAGCAGACTGAGATCTCAGAAATTCACCCAAGGCATTAGTTACACCAACAATACATAAAGTAAAAATTTGCAAACATTTTTCAAAGGCAGAAGGCTAGAAGCAAGCTTTTGAGAAGCAAGCTTTTGTCCCACAGAATATGGAAATTCAATGTCTAAAATGCGATGGGGTTTTGCATGCAGCTTGTGTTTTACATATTTGTTTACTGAAAGATAGCTGCTGCCTTGGTTGTTAACATCTGTGCACTGTGAGACAAGCCTTCTTCCTTTTGCTATGCAAAACTGCCTCCCACTTGAGAGTGAAAGTCTAAGACCTGTGTCATGACCAAAAAGTATATGTGTATTTATACCTGTGCATGTCCTGGGAAATATCTGTTCTGCTGAATTTACTGCAAGGAATGAGGTGCCCCCAGATTCTGCAGCCATGCTTACTCCCTTCTGGGAAGTAACTTTCAGGCAGTTGTAAATGGGAGGCAACGGAGAAAAATAATATATGCCTTATATGCGCAAAATACATTCTCCTGTGGTGACAAAACATATGATGTTTGGTATTCTAATCTAAAATCTGCATACAGGAGGAAATTTAACAGTCCATCCTGCTGGCATGAAGACCTTGCATCTATAAGGAAACAAGAGATGTGCCTACATGTCCCTTTGACAGTGGTATCCTGCCAAAGGTTTGAATGAGTCATTTTACCAAGTTTGTCAGGACTCATTGATTCTCATATGGATTGTGGTTAGGAGAAATGGGTGAGCTGAAATTAATTAAATGACTGAAGAATGGAAATGTATTGCCAAATGCAGAAACTAGATATTTTGGCTCTATTATTTCACATTTCCATTTTTCTACATTTGCACTCTGATGAAAAGATTCTCCTGCTGTAATGAGTTGGCAGGACATGTAATGAGTCCTGCCTGTGATCCTTGTCTTCTCCTACAGCCACCAGCAGTGGGGATAGTTTAGAACAAACTTTTAGTTCATCTGGGTTTGCCCTTCGCTCTGAGACATGGTTAGAAGAATTTGGCAAAACAATGATATTTGGCTTAGTGGGTAAAAGAAATGTGGATTACAATAACCTAAAATGGTTTGAATTTTGTGTTTGGGGTTTTTTCTTTAGAATTCACATAAAACCCAACCCTGGCAAAATAAAATTATATTCAGCCACATTTTTTGAGCTTTAGCAGGAAAATTAAATCATGCATTACAGATGCAAAATGATAGATTAGTCCTGAAAACAGAACATTTTTCTCCATGCCCTCACTAAAATGGTTAGTTGTTTATCACAGGCTTTCTACTGGGACCTTTCCATGTATTCCTGTTTTAGTGTTGCCTGTGACAAATAAACAGTCAGGCATCCAGCCACCCAAACCTCAGGAAGAACATGCATATTTTCCTATAACAAATAGGAAATGAATCCCATAAGCTACATCTCTGAATGTTTGTACATACATAAAAATATCAGTGTTCTGTGAAAAGATAGTGGGACAATACTGGAAAAATGATTCCTAATACAGCTTTTCATGAAGAAATCTAAAATATACTAAAATAGTCACAGTAAAACAGTCCAACAGTAAAATAACCACAGAACTAATGTATCACAACTCTTAATGTTCTTAGGTCTCTCTTTCTCACAAAGAAATTTGGCTTATGTGTTTCTATTAATTCATACCTTTTATTACATGAATGAGGTAGAAAACGAAACGATCTTTGAAGTGGTTTGAGTCTTGTGTATGATGACTGAAAATTGAGTGTTCCCTCTTATTCCCAGCAAAGCAGGTCTTGAGTCTGATCTGGTTGACTCAAACTTCTGACCAGAGCGATGATGCGGATGTGTGTTTCACACAGGTGGGCAGATCGCCGGGAGCCTGGCGGTGGTCACGGATGCGGCACACATCCTGGTGGACCTGACGAGTTTCTTGATCAGCCTCTTCTCACTGTGGCTTGCCTCCAAACCTCCTACCAAACAACTAACTTTTGGGTGGCACCGAGCAGGTAGCAAACATCTCACAGTATGGACATGTGGAAAGGGAAAGGTAGATTATCATAACCAGGGGCTGGAAAACGTGCTGATGTCCAACACAGTTCTGCAGGTATTTAGAGACAGCACACTAATGCTCTCAAAGCCCCCAGGACTCAAGACAAACAGCAAGACAGTGAGCTTCAAAGAAGTAAAGAGCATCTCTTATCTACAAGTGTGTCTTTCAGATTACTATTTACTATAGTTTTGGGCTGGTGCTAGCTTTGGCTGAGGTAACAGCAATTTCCCTCATTGAATTGAGTGTGAGGAGGACTAAGCCCTCAATCTGTAATGATAGAAACACAAGTTTCTATCAAAGCAGTGATACCCATAAAAATGAAGGTTTCCTCTATTTATAAAGAAAATTATTAAATTATTTTAAAAAGTCAACATTACATTTGTAGAAAAGTGAGATCCTTTAGCATTTACCCTTTTCTAGATCCTCTCTCTGCAATTCTCTTTATCATTGCTTGTTTTTATCAGATGCAAACACAGGCAGATTTTTAACATACTCTACCCTTAACCAAAATCAATACTTTTACCAATGACACCTAATATCAAAAGCCCGATAATCAAACACAAGTGTTTTTACAAAGACAAGACACCAGCAAAACATTAACCATGAGAAAAAGTTTCTCGGAGTATGAGTCTGTTCAAGATTTAGACACCTAAATACCAATGCTACATATACACGAGCACATATAAATACAGGGTCTGATACAGTCAACAGAAATGTAGACTCCATTCAACTGCATAAACATAGAAGTCTAGTGCTACGTCCCTAGAATGTCTGTCTTATGCATGGGAATGGCAGCTGTCGCACAAGTCCCGCAGGAGACTGCACAGGATGCCAAGCACAAGACCAGGGCATCTCAAATGTGATCAGACACTCATAGTTAAGAAACTAGTATGTGTTCCCAGTCAGCCAATGGAGCAATCACCATTAATTTGACATCCATTGTTCATAAAGGTAGCTTAGCTCACACCTGCAGGCAGACATTTCAATTTAATTGTCTCAGTCTGGAAGTGAGTCTCCTGCTGGATGTCTTGGGACTCAGTTTAGTTGCTTGTATGTGGATGATTTGTGCTTTTTGAAATCCAGCTGCCACTCCAGAAGTCTATGAATAAATTATACACCTTGTGTTAAGCCATACATGGAGATGCCAATGTGTCTCAAATGACTTTAGACACCTGTGCACCCGAACCAAGGACTCAGATGATAAATACTGAACATCAAGGATGTTCAGTATGAAGGCCCAGAAGCAGCTTCTGGCTCAGGATGTCTGTAGGCCAAGGTTGTTTGTAGCCACAGAAAGTACCAGGGAAGACATATGCCATGCTCATCCTGTCTTTATGTAGCTCCCTAAGTATATTCTATCAACTCTGCTGGAAACAAACTGGGTGAGAGGGAGGTTCAGTATTACTCAAGCACTGCTGGTATTATAGAGACAACACACAGCTGAATTTTGCAGCCTTAGAGAACTACTACTTACCATCAGTAAATCATTCATTACTTTTTGTGTTTATGCTCTCTTAGCCTGGGGGAAAAAAAGTGAGAGACTTCTCTCTTGCTGATGTAGGCAGGTTCAGCCACCTCATGTAACTTCATCCTCAGTCTGAATTATATTATTTCTTTTTCATTGCAATGCAGAAGTTCAAAATCAATCCTTTCTTGCCTTTTTGTATGCAAAGAGAGCCCTATATCAAATGTTAGAGGCTACTTAATTGCATTCCATGATTGCTATCCTGTTTCTTGCTTATTTTCTCAGCTATATTTCCAGTGTAATATGCAGATGGGTACCTTAATAGAGTAGCCAAGGGCAGTCAGGTGACAAAGTCACTCTTCACTGACTACCAAGGTCTTACATGTGCAGCCCTCCACGATACTGGAAGCTGTTTGTTCACTGCTTCTCTCAGACTGATAGATATTGCCATGAAAAGACTGTATGACACGGTTCAGGTTTAGCAGAGGCCATGTGAATGCCTCCTGCCCTCCAAGCCAGAACCAGTGCAGCTACTTTCAGCAACATAGATTGAAGCACAAAATTGAGTAAGACTGATAGTGTGAGCCAAACCTACTTCCAGGTACAAAAACTCTCTTGCACCTCAGTTTCCCTCTGCTATGATTCACAGATTCCCACACAATCCTACACTATTGTTTGCTGTACTCTGTTAGTGATAGTAGTTCTAAAGAAATTTACCTGAGAACTGAGTGCTGCTAAACTGGTCTGTAAACTTAGCTAAACTTTTGCTAAGATAACACATTGAAAATTAATATGTATTTTCACCTATGTAGGTAAAGATGAATTCTAACATATTCTGTTGTGGAGGATATGCACACATCCACACAGATATGAACACAGGTGTTCATAAAAGCTGTTGGCTGCTTTCATGCCCATGACAGCACAGCCATCAACACCTTCAGTTGAGCCAAATTTGCACTTTCAACCTGTAACCTGCAGAAAAAAAATTGTATGCTTTATTTGAGCTTCTCTCTATTTTTAAGCAACACTAGATTCCCCTGTCAGTGCATTTTCATTTGTTATTTGCCAGTTTTAGAATAAAATGGTTATTTGATAAGTATTTGGAGCCTGGACTGCTGCAAAAGGGGTGACCCTCATAAAAATATATTCAAAATCATAAGCTGTTTTCAGGGATTGTTAGTGGAATTCTGTGCAAATGCTTTCTGGCTATCTACTTCCTTTCACTTTACTATGAGCTTTCATTTTCCCTGGTACTCTCTCAGTTGTGCTCACTTACCCATTCAAGTCACATGGCAATTACTAGTCCCACGTCCTATTAGAAGCATGCTGCACATTCATGTGCACTTCCCTGGACCTCTTCTATGGCAGTGCAATAAAAGGTGGCCTTGGGGACTGGATTTATTTGAGCCCAACTCAGAGCCAATAGAGACAAAATTAAATTTTGCTGCCCCAGGGAAAAAATAACTTCTTTTGTTCTCATCACAGCTGGTGGCACAAAAATGATTTTGTGGCATTGGCAGGACGAGTTCCAGGATAAGTTTTGCTGGCAGGACCTCTTTGGGGGCTGTTACTGCTTTTCTCAACTGTGAAGTGATAAGAAGTGTGCAGAAAGAGGGGAAGGTAATGGACAGGGATTATGTCTGCCAGTGGGTTTGAGTGAACTGTGGCTTTCTCCTTCCCTCTGACTTCTGCTCCTGTGATCAAGATAATCTTGTTGGGGAAGGAGGGCTGGTCTTTGGAGTTTTCACACCACACTATCAGGGCCAGGAAACTACACAAGATTTGCTCTTTTATCCTTCCTTCTCATTATAGTTCTTTTTGCTCCTACCAGAACTGCCCAAATGATCTTTTTCATCTCTCCAATTTCTTTGAATGACACACAAACCAAACACTGAAAAGGAGCCAAAAGTAGGGGCAGGTAGAACAGGGTAAGGCTATCACATGCATAAGGCTGCCCTGGGAAGTCACTGGATTTACTATGACCAGAAAGGGGTTTAGCCCATTCTTTGTATGCATTCTCTGCCAACATACAAGAAGCCAGTCTCCTGGCTATAAAGCTCAACAAGTCTGGAACCATTACCATCAACCTCTTAAAATTTCTTGCATTTCTGTTCTGACTGTTAAAATCAGATTGTTTTATTCCTAGAAATTCTGGGAGCTTTGATGTCTATGATAATTGTCTGGATGGTGACTGGCGTGTTGATATATTTGGCTAGCATGAGGCTGCTACACCCTGATTACGATATTGATACTACAGTGATGCTCGTTACCTCTGCTTTTGCCGTGCTCGCCAACATCCTGTAAGTTATTTTGTTTTCCTCTCCATATAATATTTGAAACTTGAGCCTGCTGCTGTAATTCAATAAAAAACTATATAGAGACATTGGCCTCAAAAATATTAAGTACTTATGATGTTCATGAGGATATGGAAAGGAGCAGAGAAGAGAGATCGTGCTTCTCATTGAAAGTTGCAGTTGCTCTCCTACTTTCTGTTAGCTGCCACACTGAGAAGGCAAAATTCCAGGAAAAGATTAATCTCCATCTCGCTTTTTATTCGATGTCAGAATATTCAAGAACTCTGTAGAAAATGAGGTCTCATTAATTACCCTGTTCACAGACTTTCTTGTTTGTATGTATTTCTACCTAATGTGTCAGATTTTACCGTTCAGCATTCAGAAGTGAGAGGGGTGATGATGTGTGTGACATCACTGCTTTCAGAGATGCAGTATATCCGCTGGTATTTGCAGCTTTACGTCTCTTGCAGACTAAGCCTGATTCTGCACCAGACCGGCCACGGGCACAGCCATGGGGCACAAACCAGGGAACACGTGTCAGCCCCTCGAGAAAAGCCAGCTCTGAGCAATGTCAGCCTGCGGGCAGCCTTTGTGCATGCCGTTGGAGACCTATTCCAGAGCATTAGTGTGCTAATTAGCGCACTTATCATCTTCTTTAAGGTTAGTTTTATTAGTTCACTTGCCTTCCTTGCAATTAAGGATAAGTGTTACTTTCACAGCTTTGTGACACCGGGTACTCTGTAAATATTTCCTCTGTCTTAATGATACACATTGTAATTTAGTCAAAGAGAACTATACTTGGGAACTGAAATGACTGTTGAGAGTGTAACACTTGCTTCTTAGTGTTCCAAGCGGATACTTCAGTGTCTCTCCACTTTGTCGTTTGTAGCACCTTCATTTTCTGTACTGAGGCTGAGGCTCCCTGACAAAGGAGGCCAGCACTCATTTTGTACTAGATGAATTGAATATATTATTTTTTGATATTAACTAATTAAAAATTCCAATAACAAACAAAAATGAAATTAACAAAGTGATGTGTTCATATTTTTCTAGCCAGAATACAAAATAGCTGACCCAATCTGCACATTTGTGTTTTCCATCTTTGTTTTGGCAACTACCATCACCATTTTAAGGGATATTTTGATTGTGCTAATGGAAGGTAGGACCTGATTCCAGAATCAATAAACTTATATTTTGGGTTTGTTTTCTTCTATCTCTTTCTCCATAATGCTTATATGTGCTGAAAAATTATAATAACACACTTCTACATCAGTTTCCAATATTCTTAAGATTCTGATCATACTTTAAACTACTTTTAATTTTAGTCAAAACTGTAAAAATCAGTGTATTGGTGTTTTGCTAATGAGCTCTGAGTTGCTTTTGTCTGTCGAATGTGTAGCATTGCTTTTTATCACCATTTTGGCATATGAGATGCCTACTCACCTCATTCATTGTGTATTTCCTTTACTTGTGTGAAATAAAAGTCTTTGTGGAAAAAAAAAAAAGAAAAGAAAAAGACTGTGCCTTGAACTGTTTCTGTTAAATGGATTGAGTGCAAGAGGCAGAAGTTTGAAAGATTTTTAGTTACACCAGTCTAGAAAAGCAAGCTATTGGACCTTCCCAGTCATGTTCAAGTGCACTGGAATAGACAATTCTCGGTACATCAGCAGCAAGAAGAACTAAGCTTAGCAATATTTAATCCTGTCAGCTATGGGCTTGAACATTTGATTTGTAAGGCCAAATGACTTGAGCATTCACAGAGGCATGTTTTTGCCTTCCTCACACTGAATAATATAATGCAACCTCTTTCTCAGCCATGAAAACAGAAGGATTAAAGGGAAAAGTAGCTCTAATGGTGCAGGTTTTTAATGGATACTCAGTATGACTGTCTGCATGGCTATTTACTTCTCTCTTTCACTTTGCATCTACTTTTGTTTCAAGAAATAATGTTTCCAATATTGTTTTACAGTAAAGCTTCATTCTAGCGTTGTTTTGCTTTCAGTGATTGTGAGATAGAGATACATCCATGTAGAAGTGTACCTAGACAAGAGTGCAGCAACTGGCTGTATTCTGGCTGTCAAAAAATCAGAAGATGTCTTCATTACTGAAAAAAAATCAAATTACCAGGAAGGTCTGGCAACCCCTGACACCTATGAGTCTCTTTCTCAGCAGCGACTCCCAGCTTCCATAAGCAGTGCTGACATGCCAAAATCACAGTGCTCTGATCCTGCTTGCAGCAAGACCTTTTACACTGTCCTCCTGGAGAGGGCTCTGAAACCAGGCTCCTCTCTCCTAAATAGCATTCTGCCCAGAATTTTCTGAAGACAAATTGGATGTTGGAGCTGGCGCTGGAGGTGGCTCTTATGCATCCAACCTTGTCCCAGACCATCAGCTCCACAGCCCCTGTGACTGACTGTGTCAAGTAGGCACTGACTGTCTGTGGTTTTCTGTAAAAGAGCATGAGCATGTCAGCTCATTAAGTCAGTACTCCATAGAGCATATCATTCTTGTAATAAATGGATAGGACAAAGCATACAACACTGAGGTCATTGACAATTATAAATAAGTATCAGTTAAGGTATGAAAGACAAAATTAACCAATACTGTGTTCATCATTATTTTACTTCATAACTGGTGGAATTAAAAATATTTTTCAGTTTACTGATCCAAGCAGATCATGATGAGCATCCTAGCTCATAGCTGCTCACATGCATTTGCAAATTCCCAGGCCTCACTCCAGGGATTATGTGTTGTTAAACTTCTTATTCAAATTTGGACTTAAATTAAACTCTGAATTTCATGTTGCAACTCATCCTGTCGCAATTGTACTCACTCTGAATGATGGTCACCACCATCATGTATTGTAAGAAGGCTTGTCTAGGAAAACAACCACTGGCTACTCAATAACTAGACCTGGGATCTAATCTCACTTAAGATTCCTGAGTCAAAACATTTTAATCTTTACATTCACCTTTCCTTCCCTGCTAAATAGATGCTTCTCTATTGTGTGAATGTATTGAGGACAAAATACCCAGAGGTGTTCAAGTGATGCCATAGAATCTGCACTCACAAAATATGTTGGTGCAAAACTAGGACATGTTCTGGTTAAATAGCTCATCCTATGTAAACTAAACCCTCAGGGTATCTCCTAAAACATGCATGAGTCTACACCTTCCACGGACAAGTGTATAACAAGGGATAGGATTAAATAGCACAGTGAACTCTGAAATAGATGGGCTTTCAAAGCATTAAATATTTTTATAAAAATTATACATCTTAAGTGAATAAAGGTTCATGATGCATTTTCCTCTATCAATCATCATTTCTATTCCTTAAAATATTCTTTTCCCATCAATTTCTCCTTTTCAGGAACATCAAAAGGATTTGCTTATGATGAAGTGAAAGCAAGAATTTTAGCAGTTGAGAAAGTGGAGTCTATTCACAACCTTCATCTTTGGTCTCTGACAATGAATCAAACTGCTCTGTCTGCTCACGTTGCCACAGGTCAGTAAATTTCTGTAAGCAGGGAGTAAGTATTCAGCTGCTGCCTAGTAAAGGTCAGTCTTTCCTGATTTGGATGAAACTGACTGTATATCAGTTGCTTGTTAAAAAACTTGGCATGATTTTGTTGGAAAAACAAAACCAACAACAATAACAAGAAAAGCTCTCAAATCCTCCTCTCGGAAAACTTGCCAAAACAACAGGGACCTCTACTTAGTCCAAAATTTGAAAATTACAGAGGCTGTGAAGCAAGGAAGTAAACCACAAGGTATTTTCAGACTGTATTTTTTTCACAAATAGATTCTGGAGTGGATTTGTCAAACTTGAAAACTGTTGATCCCTATAACAAAAACTTACAGGGCAAATCTGCATTGCAGATGCATCTCTAGTCATAAAACAATCTTTAAACATAGTTTGGAATGTAGAGAAAACTCCATGGGAATAGTTAATATTATAAAATATTTTTTAAACTGTAATTCTTATCCCAGTTGACAAATTGTGCACTACCCAGATCAATTTTCTCATCCATATGTTTGCTTTGTATATATTAAGGTCTATTTAAGAAAAAAAATCCACCTGTGTTTGGCCAAGGACAGGTTCAGTGGTGAAGTTCTCCATGGTGTCCCTACTTCCCAAAAACAGAGGGTCTATCAGCCACCCAAATCACTTGGCACTGCTGCTACTCTTTGACTGGATGAACTAATCTTTATTAAGTATTTCTGCTTTCCTCCAATCTTCTGCCAAACTGAATTTCTATGGTGATTACTCTTAGCTTAGCTCTTGCCAAAAATTGCATATTCCAACCACATTTGAATGAACAATCTTTTGCTGACATGGAGGTTCCTGAAAGAAGGATAAAAAGGACAAGAAACACTTCTCAAACGAACTTCTTGGTACAAGTTTCTGTCAGTAAACATTTACTTTTCTTTAAAGTATTATAAAAATGTATGTATTTTGATTATTTTCTGCTTGCTATCTATAGCAGACACAACGGACAGCCAGAAGATTTTGAGAGATATTACCCAAGCCCTATTTGAGCACTACAGCTTCCACTCCATCACTATTCAGATTGAATCAGGAGAGGATCAGAAACAAGACTGTATCTTCTGTCAAGAGCCCAGGGACTAAAGGGAGCAGTACTCTGTGCCAAATAATGATTACCCCTCTTACAGGTCAATGGAGACTATATTTGCTGGTTTATGTAACTGATTAACAACAAATGGCAATTAACTGACATAACAAGCCCTGCCATTGCAAGCAGTGCATGGTCCTTTCATTGCTGGTATCATCTACCATGAGAGAACATGTATTGGATCCATCCATCAGCCAGATCGCCTGTCCATCAGCAGTTTCTTTCAACTACAAGGGAAATTTCTAAATTATTCTTGACTAAAGCAGCAGATTGGCACTAAAGCAACACTTAAAGAGTGGCTGTTTGTAATTAAAGGTAACAAAAAAACTAATCAACCTTCAAATTACCAACAGACCAATTATCACAAAGCGTAATGAAATGTACTTTTAGTATTAGCAAAGCTCAACAAATTACCACAAGGGATGAAGGGAAAGAAAGTGATGGTGGCATGTGCTTTCCCTGCTTTTTGGCAGACACTCCTCTTCCTGATACATGTAAGTATCAGATGTGTACCATGCTCTGCAGCATGGATCACAAGAGTATTTACTCCATTAACATTTGGCAAATAGGTCTTTGGTTTTTTAGCTAGCCCTCAGACAAACTCTTTTCTGCCAGACATGAGCAGTATTCTCTACTATCAAGACAGCCCATAACTCATATAGCACTGCATCAAGATGAGTTATGATAGAAGATTTGAGGTGGACTTTTGCGTGTCTGTGTCACAAGGTACCACTGAGTCATGACAATAAAACAGATCAGGTGCTCTTAAAAATGAAAAAATAATTATGGCAAGGGAAGAATGGGGCCCATTATGAACATCCTGTCTAGTGTCATAGTTCATGGTACAGCCTGTGGGGTGTTCCCCAGTAACACTACATCCTGAAGTTAAAAAAACTTTTGGCATGTCACACAGCCATTCACTGTAAAGGGAAGAGAAGCATCTCTCCTTCAGGTAGCTAATTTCCACATTTCCTAACAAGATGTGTGTTGTGGGTTAGGAATGGTATTCCCCAATTTTATGTTCCTACCAAAACATTCCAAACCACGTGCTGCTAGCTCACTCCCCCGTTTCCCTTCCCCCTCCCCTGCAGCCAGATGGAGAAGAGAATTGCAGTCACAAAAGGTAAAGATTATGGATAAAGATAAGAACAATTTACTGGAAACAGCAACAGAATAAGAAAATGAACAGTAACAGCAACTATATTAATAACAGAGTGTAAAGAGGTGAACCATTCCCAAGCGAGTGCTCACCACTACACCACGCGTAGACCCCCGACAATACCTCACCGTGCCACCACACTACATGACCTGTACAGAACCCCTTCCCCTGTCCCTGGAAAATGTTTTGTGGTGTTGTTTTGATGTGAGGTAGTATAGAATAACCTCTGTGTCTTAGCCATGCCCCCTCCTGGCTACTGCAAAAATCAACCCTGTCTTGGCCAGAACCAGGGCGAAGTGTCAAATTTCCCTCCTTTTTATGCCTGAACTTTGCCTCCTTTTCATGGCAGAACTTTGAACAAAGAGTCAGGTCTTGCTGTGCCTCTATTTTTGCCCAAGCAACTGAATTAAACTCTCACCTGTTAGCAAAAGCAAGGGTTGCACTTCAAAATGTATGCTCCAGTGCTTAAAAAAACAACTTCAATTCTACCCCTGGCCATAATAATGCAGTTTTGTTTTCTCTGTGGAGCTGACCTAATGTTTTGCCACTCCACAATCCTCTCTCCAAGAGCTGTAGGGCTCACCTTACTAACAGGTTTGTTAGAACAAAATAAATTATATACCAAGTGATACTGAGTTTCTAGACTGACAGGTGGAAGGACCATTGTGTTATTAAGGTATAAGTAGGCCTTGCTTTTTAGGGAATTAAGTTTTATTTACAATAGGTTCACGTTAATTTTCTATTTTATCATCCCAAGGAGATTAGAATTTATTATTGGGACTTTTGGCTACGTGTAACACATAACTATGTGATGATGGATTGACATATTAAGCTGGCATTTGTTACCTGGTAGGGGGAACAAGAAATTATTCTGCTTTGTGGAAGATCTTAGTCAGGTAAACCTCCCACTGAAATCAGATGAGATATTAACGCAAAACACCCGCTAAGAATTTCATGAGTATCTCATTATTTACCAGCTTGAAAGAACTGAGACCACAGCAGTGGTATTCAGCACAAGGATAAAGACAATTATTGCCCTTCACAGCCGAAACTCCAGAAGATAAGGCACAGATAAATCAAAGCACAGTAAGAAATTCTAAATGGAGAAGTTAACTTGTATTTTGGTTGGTTTCTCTTCTGGTATAATTTAGCATAGCTATCTCCTACCAAAGGCAACCCAGCTGTACTTGTTAGGTAACCTGAGTATTCTTTTCATTAGTTAGGGAGAACAAGTTAATAGTGTGGCCTTTATATGAAAAAAACCTATCTTTCCAAATGTTTGGAATAAAATGAGGACACAGACCTGAATATAATAGTGACTTCTGCAGCACAGTTTTATGGTCAAGGACAACATAAAAGATAATGAGTGGGTGACAGAAATGCCCATATAGGACACAGATTCAGTTCTGAGATTTGGGTCAGGGTAGAGAAAAAGACAAGAATTTTAAGAGCAATAGTGGATCTTGGAGAAAATTTAAAGAGAAAAGTGATATGGTCCACAAAGAAAGTTATGCTGAGTAGTAGAGCTGTGAAAAAGCTGGATGGAAGCAACACAAGAGCGACTGGAAAAAAGAAGATGCAGCAGTCAGCAAGAGGACTGCTGAGGCTATCATGCAAATTAATTGAAAGGATGGGAAAGTGTTTCATTATGTTTTGGAAAAAGGAGCAGTGAAATATAGAGATACAAGGAAAGAAGGATATAATCCAAAATAATGATACTTTATAAAAAAAAGTGAGGGAAAGTTATAAAAAAGGTTTAAGAAAGGACTGAGGGAGCAGCTTCCATCCACAGTAATGTAACCTGGGTATGGAGTAGTAAAGATCAGGGCAGGAGTGGGGAGGTAGAGGAGAAGTCTGGGTTTGTTAGCAGCAGTAGATGTATTTCAAGCAAAAGAATTTAACCACTTATCTTTAGCAAAAGCTAGAGACCTAAGGGAATTTTACCTAAACATGATAGATTGAAGATGAATTTAGAGCAAATATTTACCTGTAGTTATGAATATTGCTATAAGGAGCTGAATCTTTAATGCTCCAGCTATGTATATGAATGTAAAATGTATGTTTGTTCTTCATTCCTGTCTAGTTTGATCCTCAGGGATATTATCTTGGTACAAGGTTGTTTTCAGAATACTGTCTGACTGGCTGAGAAGGATTTCTGCAGAAACGCTACTGCAATGTACAGAGGCTGAGAAGTCAAGAGACGATTTCTAGACTTGTCTGCTTTTATTAACTTTTCGTCCTTTTGATTGTCTGAAAAATAACTACAAGAAAACTGACCAAAAATTGCTATCTCTAAATCATTCACTACTGTGAAATGGAAAAGGGTTTGTCATGTAAGTGGTCAGTTTTCAAAGCCTGACTGTTTTTTGATGGAGTTCAGTTCATATGGGCAAGTACATGGCTTTACTGGGTAGTCCCTACTGAAATTTTATGAACATAAGTACATTCATTTTCCTCTAAATTTTAAAGTAGTCATTTTGCATCTTGTAAATTATATATTTGTCTGGTCCCCTAAAAGCACTCTCTCTTTTTCACTTTCCACAAGGATAAGGAGTTTGTAGAAAGTCAAGACTTTTTGGAGTAGAAATCACGAAATGAGCAAATGCAGAACTTTCCTCTTTCAGCACTGACAAAGAGCCTAAGTGCCAATAGTGTGCTGAGATGACCATCAAACAATGACGGAAGTATTTATAATTACTTGAACTGGGAACAGTTAAGGTACAACAAATCTGTCATTAACACCAATGAAATAATCTCTTACTGTAACTAAAGCCATAGGTATAATTCTGTATTCTCCTCTCTGAGATGTGATTATGAGAACTGCATATGAAATTGAGGATTATATTGCCTACTCAGCGTGAGAAATCACAACAGTAATTCATCATCTCTGGAGGAAAGCAAACAGATATCCCTGACCGTGGCAGCAAATAGTGGCCTAAGCAACAAGGACTGTGTAGGTCTGCAATATGGTTCTTTTCAATGTCAAGAGGTTGTATCAGTTTTTGCTCTCAACACTTTTTCTTCTGTTGGAAAAGCTAGTATGCCCCAACACACCTTCCCCAGTGCCTTCCCCCCAGCCATAGCAGACGTGCTCTCTTTTTTTTCATCCCCTTTGAGTATTGTTCCCTTCTTCTTTGCTCTTCTATTTTTCCCCACTTGGCTTGTTTCATCAATGCTCTATTACCTGCCTATTCAAATTTCAGTGCCAGCATATACTTACATGTCCTTACATATCCTTTCTGTTTATAGCCCTTCCCATTTCTCTTCATCCTGTGTGTTAGATAAAAGCTCCTCAGAAAAAAACTGCCTTTTGCTCCATGTTTGTTGAAAATATGGCATAATGAACTATCTTTTTTCATAACAGGGACTTAATAAAACCAAAGAGAAAAAGCCATTCCAGCCATCACATATTGGTAGACATCAAGCACTCATATGTACTTACTTTGTACTAAAGTCATTTAGAACTTTCATCACCAAAAAATTATCTGAACTATCTCCAGCTTATGATACTCTTTCATGTTCTCAAGCTTTCTGATAATCTCTTTCAGCTCAGAAAAATAAAATCCTTTCTCACCTGAGTACATACAGTTTAAACAAGAAAGGAATTAAAGACATCCTATTGCTTAACTACCTCCTTCAACTTCTCTCTGCTTGGACTTCGTGTCAGACAGTCAGTGTCTAGGAAGAGTGCACTGCAGCAAATGAAGCTTTGGATAGCAGCCTGGTGGGAACAGTGTCTGGAATGGGAGCACAACAGAGGGGTTATTACATGGTTACTGGAGAACATTCAGAATTTTCCATCCCAGGTGTTATGTTGATGAGAGACATGTCTGTTTT